TTGTTATGATTTCAGTTGGTTTGCATTTGCTTAGGAGTGCTTTACTTTCAATTATGTGGTCAGTTTTAATGTAGGTGTGATGTGGTGCTGAGAAGAATATTTATTCTGTGGATTTGGGGTGGAGAGTTCTGAAAATGTCTATCAGGTTTGCTTGCTCCAGGTCTGAGTTCAATCCCTGGATATCCTTGTTGATTTTCTGTCTGGTTGATCTGTCTAATATTGACAGTGGAGTGTTAAAGTCTCCCATTATTATTGTGTGGGAGTCTAAGTCTCTTTTTAAGTCATTAAGAACTTGCCTTATGTATCTGGGTGCTCCTGTATTGGGTCCATATATGTTTAGGATTGTTAGCTTTTCTTTTTGTATCGATCCTTTTACCATTATTTAATGGCCTCCTTTGTCTCTTTTTATTCTTGTTGCTTTAAAGTCTATTTTATCAGAGATGAGAATTGCAACTCCTGCTTTTTTTTTGCTGTTTATTTTCGTGGTAAATCTTCCTCCATCCCTTTATTTTGAGCCTTTGTGTATCCTTGCATGTGAGATGGGTTTCCTGGATACAGCACACTGATGGGTTTTGGATTTTTATCCAATTTGCCAGTCTGTGTCTTTTGATTGGTGCATTTAGTCCATTTACATTTAGTGTTAATATTGTTATGTGTGAATTTGATACTGCCATTTTAATGCTAGCTGGCTGTTTTGTTCATTAGTTGTTGTAGATTTTTCATTATGTTGATGCTCTTTAGGTGATTTTGGAATGGCTGGTACTGGTTGTTCCTGTGTATGTGTAGTGCCTCTCAGGAGCTCTTGTAAAGCAGGCCTGGTGGTGACAAAATCTCTGAGTACTTGCTTGTTCGCAAAGGATTTTAGTTTTCCTTCACTTCTGAAGCTCAGTTTGGCTGGATATGAAATTCTGGGTTGAAAGTTCTTTTCTTTAAGGATGTTGAATATTGGCCCCCACTCTCTTCTGGCTTGTGGTGTTTCTGCCGAGAGATCTGCTGTGAGTGTGATGGGTTTCCCTTTGTGGGTGACCCGACCTTTTTCTCTGACTGCCCTTAGTATTTTCTCCTTTATTTCAACCTTGTTGAATCTGACGATTATGTGCCTTGGGGTTGCTCTTCCTGCGGAATATCTTTGTGGTGTTCTCTTTATTTCCTGCATTTGAGTGTTGGCCTGTCTTGCCAGGTGTGGGAAATTTTCCTGGGTAATGTCCTGAAGAGTATTTTCCAGCTGGGATTCATTCTCTTTGTCACATACTGGTACACCTATCAAACGTAGGTTAGGTCTTTTCACATAATCCCACATTTCTTGGAGAGTGTTCATTCCTTTTTGCGCTTTTTTTCTTTGATCTTGTTTTCTCGTTTTATTTCATTGAGTTGATCTTCGACTTCTGATATTCTTTCTTCTGCTTGGTCAATTCGGCTGTTGAAACTCGTGCATGCTTCACGAAATTCTCGTATTGTGTTTTTCAGCTCCTTTAATTCATTCATATTCCTCTGTAAGTTATCTATTCTTGTTATCATTTCCTCGAATCTTTTTTCAAGGTTCTTAGTTTCTTTGCATTGATTTAAAACATGCTCTTTTAGCTCACAAAAGTTTCTCATCATCCACCTTCTGAAATCTAATTCCGTCATTTCGTCACAGTCATTCTTTGTTTACCTTTGTTCCCTTGCTGGTGAGGAGTTTTGGTCTTTTCTAGGAGGCGAGGTGTTCTGGTTTTGGGTGTTTTTCTTTTTTTGCACTGGTTTCTTCCCATCTTTGTGGATTTATTCACCTGTTGTCTGTGTAGTTGCTGACTTTTCGATTGGGTCTCTGAGTGGACACCCAGATTTTGATGATGAAGTATTTCTGTTACTTGGTTTTCCTTCTACCAGTCTAGCCCATCCACTGTACAACTGCTGAGGTCTACTCCAGGCCCTGCTTGTCTGGGGTGCACCTATAGCAGCTGCAGAACACTGAGGGATGCTACCAGTTTCTTTTTCTGCTATCTTTGTCTCAGAAGGATGCCTGCCAAATTTCAGTCTTCTGGATATAGAGGGGTCAGGGAGCTGCTGGAGGAGACAGTTTGTACTTTATAGGAGCTCAATTGCTGAGCTGTGAGTTCTGTTCTTCATTCAGGGCTGTTAGGCTGCTACGTTTAATTCTGCTGCAGTTGAACTCATAAAACCCTTTTTTTCCCCAGATGCTCTGTCTTGGGGGGTTTGGGGCTTTATTTGTGAGTGTCCGTTGTGCTGTCCTGCCCAGCTAGGAGGCAGTCTAGTGACTATTTGCCTGGCTAGGCTCCGCCCTGATAGTGTGAGGTTCACCCTGTTGCTGCAGGCTCTGCTCTGCTGCAGCGGTCTGCACTCTGCTGCCACAGGCTATGTCCTGTGGCAGAGTCTCTGTTGTAGCGGGTTGCCTTAGCAATGGCAGGCTGCATCAGCAATGGGCGTGTACCTTAGTAGGAGCTGATTGCCTCAGTAATGGCGGACGCTTTTTTCTTATGAAGCTACATTGTTCTGGGTTCAGCTGTGTCCGCACCCGGAGCGTTTGGAATCGCCATTTTTTTGTCCCACTGAGCTACTTCCCTTGAATCTCCTGGGCTGGCTCACTGTCCAAGTCCCGTTCAGTCTCAAGTTCAGCCCTCTCAAGTCTCAGATTGCCGGTTTAACAGGGCACCCGGACCAGAGCTCTTTGTGTGCAGCGCTGTGTAGCGCTGCTTCACTGTAGCACCGCTTCTCTACAGCGCCAGCCAAAACCTCTGCCTCGCGTCCTACGTCTCTTTTATACCTGGGAATTTCTTTGTTCTGTGGGCAACAAAGATTTGTCTGGAAATGTGGCCCTGACTCACCCTCTCTGCGCATTCACCGAGAGCTTCAATCCTGGGTTTTTTTCACCACACCATCTTGAGTACCCCCCATGTAGTCTTACTGAAGTAACCTTTGCAGTGTGAAGCAAAAAGCAGAAGTTTATAAAGTTGGCCTTCTGGTCAAAGTTCAGTGAGACTTTGTGTTTTCCATTTCCCAAAGGAGGTATACCTAACTTAAGATTCTAGGTTTCTAGGTTTTTTTTTTTTTTTTTTTTTTTTTTTTTTTGGTCATACTTTATAGGACAATTGGGAATGTGGTTTAAGAAAATAATTATATGTACATGTAGAAATTTAGCTTCTAGGATGTTTATTATAGAGTTGTTTCATGTCAGAACAAATGTGAAAGCATACAAATGACTCAGAATAAGGAAATAGTTAAATAAATAATATATATTCCAAGGATGTACTATTATGTAACTGTTAAATCATGTTTTTGTAAAATACTGAATGGCATCCAAAAATGTACATCGCAATTGGAAAAAGCAGTATTAAAATAAATGCATTAGAATATTATAAAGTGTTATGACCAAGCTTAGAGATGACCAGTACAAATTATGACTATTTTAATTACAATAACAGAGTTGGATTTAATATGGTACCTAATAAATCTTTCCTTAGCATGAGAGGCTAGACAGACACACAATGTTGTTCGAATTCTGGTTTCAAAATGCACACACAGTATTAATAGTGATAACCACTATTATAGGTGGTTATACTTAGGCTGGTGGGTTTCTAAGTGCTGTTTGTTTTATTTTTAAGCTTTAAATTGGTATTTTTCAAGTGTTCTACAATGAATTTGTATTTGATTCATAATTTTTAAAAAGGGCAATATATGACTTCTCTAGTCAAGTGTTTTCTCATTTCAAAATTTCTGAATCTTAGCCAGTTCTAAAGAGGCTACAGTATATTTAGTTGGGAAAGCTTATTTAGGTAAGTTATTGTATAGGAAATATGGCCTGTTTGATTACTTTGCTGTTTCATAACCAAATATTACTTGTAGTCAAATGGTGGTGGTAACAAAGGGTGATTTGCTTAGTTATCGTTTCTATGTGTAATACAGGTGGCATTGACAACATTGAGAGAATTCAATAATTTTTAAGATTTTTGCCTTTGAGAATAAAAAATCACTCTTTTGAGTTTTAATAGTATAAATGAGACTGGTGTACTATTCTTTGACATTTTAGCTGAAAAATCTTATTCTGTGATGGCTTTGCTTGGCTTTTTAATTTGACAGGGTATTTAAAATATGCACAATTTGTATCGGTTATATCTAAGCTTCGTGATAACATTTTACATGATTCCAATGCTGTTATTTTTAGTGCTTTTTTACATTTACCATGTGTAGTTTTGATGCCATTCAATATTTTCCAAAATCATGATTTAACAGTTACATCATATCCTTTGACTATATGTTATTTAACCATTCACTTATTGTGAGTCATTTACATACTTTCACATTTCTCTTTATGCTAAATTACTCTACAGTGAAGATCCTAGTCCTTGTTTCCTTTCCCTACCTATTTCCCTCCCCAAAATTAGTGTCCTAACTTCTAAAAAGCTGGCATGCTCTGACACACCAGCTTTTTCTGTGAAAAACATGGACACTTTGAAACATTGCACTTGTTTCATAGTGTTTCAGTTGGGAAACCATCATCTTATATGTGATCCTCTTTACTTTTTTAAATAGAGATGGAGTGTTGCTGTGTGGTCCAGGCTGGTCTCAAACTCCTGACCTTGAGTGATCCTCCTGCCTCGGCCTTATAAAGTTCTAGGATTACAGGCTTCAGCCACTGTGCTGGCCTGTGATCCTCGTTTTAAAAAGGACTATATTCACTCGATTACAGTCACCTTTAAAATAAAACAAAATTAAAAAACTCTTCATGGGAAAAGTTGTTATAACTGTATTTTTCAGCTTGAGTATAAAATAATTCTAAGAATTTATTGGTGAGATGGAGATGACATAGTCTGACTACTGTCAAAGCTTTTCAGACTTTATAAAGAGGAGGAGATTAACCAAGTCTGATTAGGTATCCAAAGATCATTGCTCTTTGTCTTCTGTCAATTTTAGACCTAGTGACAATAATTGCAAAATTCCTGAATTACAATTGGTATTACCAAAACATCCTACCATAATAACTTTTCTTTTTTTTTTTGAAGGTGCCAAATCAATCATTCAGGAGTTTCCGGAGATCACAATTTTAACTACTGAAGTTCATCCTGTTGCGCCTACACATTTTGGACAGAAATACTTTGGAACAGACTAAGTTATTAAAGTAAAATGAATTATGTTGTGTAATATTACAATCATGTTTGATTTCTATTTGTTTTATTGATTTGGTTGAGGGTGCCAGAGAAAAATGTGTTAAAGTGCTTTGTAGTTTTGGAAGTAGGTATATTTGAGGTTATATTTCATTTAGTTATTTCTTTACTGTTAGCACCAAATTCAATAATGAAGTACATGCAACTCTTATAAAATATACATTTTAATAATATCCTAATACAAATTACTGAATCTTCAGTACATTCAAATTATTTCCTAATTTGTGAGACTCTTACTTTGGAGGTTGCTTGAAGCCACAAATAAAACTCAAATGAGAGTCAGTTCTTTGTCCCACTGTAGTTTGCATTTTGTTTTGTTTGGTTTTAGCTCTAGTAAGATTTCATATACGTGGCTATTGCCATATTCCTCTACTGTTTTCTTTCTGATACTGTACATTCTAGTAATTTGGAGAGGAGAATAAAAGAACGTCTCCTGGAATTTTACATTCCTATTAATATCCCAACTCAATTGACCGACCTAGGATGTATGGGTAACTCTCAGGCCCTTATGTTCTTTATTGCTCATTTCCCAAGCTGTGCATTGTTGGTAGGTGCCTTGCTAAGCTGCAATGCAGTGAAGAAGATGGTGGGGCAGTTTTAGTAACTGGAACTATAACAATAATTTACAAGATTGAACCAGGGATGTCTGGATGCTGACAAGGGAGAGAGAGCCAAGCACTGTTAATGCCATCAATCCTCCAGGAAGGAATTGGTGGTTTTTCTGAAGTGTGGGAGAAAGGGTGGCTTCTTGCTGAATTTCATGGCCAGTATATACATTTAAATGCTTTATTTTTAATTTGGATGTTTCTGCTAGGGACCTTTGATTTAGAAATTCGTTATTTTGCATGTTTGTCAATGGTAGATATATTAAAATAGAAAAAAAACCATGCTTTTTATAAAAACTCCTAAGATTTGTGTATGTTCATCTTTAGGCTTCTGAAAGGGAGAGAAACCATTTTGGAAATCAATGTTTGTGTTCTGAAATCTGCTTGTAAAACTCTGATCTCATTTACATTGAGATTAAAACATTTTAACAGTGGTGGCTAGCTGAGTACTTGATTAATTATACTCCCATGGCCCCATAGGCAGCTGTTGTGGGCCTCTGTTCAAAAGCACAGAAGGAAATGTCTTAGAAATAACCAAAGCCGGTGAGCCGAGATCATGCCATTGCACTCCAGCCTGGGTAACAAGAGTGAAACTCCATCTCAAAAAAAAAAAAAAAAGAAAGAAAGAAAGAACCAAAGCCAATGAAATCACCAAAGATTAGGGGAGGGGAAGGAAGCCAAGTGTAGATTGGATTATATTTTTTCTTTGGAGACTAGAATACTAGAAGAACTTCAGTATATTTTTTCCTTTATTTTTGAGGACTGTCATATAATAAATTGAGATTAATAGATAGACTACCCATATTACAGTTCTTCCATGGCAAATGTTGCTTTCAAGTTGTTACTGAAATTCTCTTCTATACTTGTCAGTTAATTATCTTAATACAGTGTGGATTTTGTTTACTCCTGACTAGTAGAAGCTATAACTAAAGCCCCTTAAAGCCAAAAGTTTCAACTCCCCTTCCCAGGACAGATATGAACTAGCAAATTTAAATGAAGAACAGATATGCTTGAGATTATTGCATCGAACTAGTTTAAAAGACGTTGCCTACCACTATCGAAGTTAGTGCTTTTAATTTAGTGCTTATGTTAGGGCCTCCCTCAGTATTTCATTTAAGGTAGCTTTCCATGACATCAGACAAGTTTATATTCAAGTGTAGATATAAAACTATATTTTAAGCAAATTATTTTTGTATTACTAGTCATTTAGATTTAACATGTCTTTGTTCCTTGATTGAGAGTTAGTTGACTACATTTGGTTCCCATATGAAAGGCCTAGAATGAACAGTAGAAAGTATGAAATGAAGTGATAGTCCCCCCTGATGTTTCTCTTCTATTCCTATCTAGATTTCAAGAAAATTATACCTGTGGCTTTTGAAATTTAGGTCTTTATAGCAAATGAGGCATTATTTGTAGGGTTAAACACTTGCAGGACTTTTCAAGCATTGGGCATTTTCTAAGTATTCTAAATTTAACACAAGATTAACATACTATTCAAAAGAAGACAATTCAGAACAGACTCTTCAAAATAATAACAGGGAAAAAGGGAATGTTTCATGATAAAGAGTTAACTTATCAAGAGAACATAACAGTCCTAAAAGTTTTGCTCCTAACAACAAAGCTTGAAAACACATAAAGAAAAACTGATAGAACTGAAAGGGAGAAACAAATAGAAATTTTAGTCAGAGATTTCAACAATCCTCTGTTGTTTTTAAGTGATCTGAACTTCAGAGCAGTTTAAACTGTGTATATTCCTTACTGGAGAACACACCCTAGCACAATAAAAACAACACTCCAGTAGTATATGCAGTGGTTCTGAAAACTTGGATGTGCATCAAAGTCACCTAGAGGGCCACAGATTGCTGGGCTCCAACCTTAGAGTTTCTGATTCAGTAGGTCTCTGTTAGTGTCCAAGGATTTACATTTCTAACAGCTTCCCATGATATGCTAATGCTGATGTTTTGGAGACCACATTTTGATTTCAGACTTTTTTTTTTATAATAGAAGCATTTAATGTTTTAAGTTTTCCTATATTGATTTAGCTGTACCTCACAAGTTTTAATATAGTATGTTTCATTTTCATTTACATCAAAATACTTGCTCATTTCTCATTTCATTTCTTCTTTGTCCCAGGGTTATTTAGAAGCATGCCATTTAATTTCCAAATGCAAGATTTTTAAAATTTCTTTCTTCCTAATTTAATCCCATTGTGGTGACAGAATATACTTCTTTGAATCCTTTAAAATTTATTGAGACTTGTTTTATGGCCCAGAATATAGTCTCTTTTGGTAAATCTTCCATGTGTTCTTGAAAAGTATGTTTTATCCTGCTGTTTTTGGATAGAGTGTTCTATGAATGTTAATTAGGTTAAGTTGGTTGATAGTGTTGTTCAAGTCTTCTACTTTACTGATTTTCTCTTTTTTTGTCTGCTCCTTCTGAGGCAACTTTACTGGTTTCTTGTTTACTTATTGTATCAATTGTTAGAGGAGGATTATTGAAATCTCTGACTAAAATTTATATCTGTTTCTCCTTTCAGTTGTATCAGTTTTTGCTTTATGTATTTTGAAACTTTGTTGTTAGGAGTGTAAAGTTTTAGGATTGCTATGTTCTCTTGATAAGTTGACTCTTTATCATGAAATATTCCCTTTTATCCATTATTATTGGGAAATCTACTTTGGCTGATGTTAATATACATATTCTGACTTTCTTTTGAATAATATTAACATGGCATTTTTTTTTTTCATCCTTTTACTTCTTTTTTTGAGATGGAGTCTCACTCACTCTGTCACCCATGCTGAAGTGCAGTGGCATGATCTTGGCTCACTTTAACCTCTGCCTCCTGGGTTCAAGTGATGGTTCTGCCTCATCCTCCCAAGTAGCTGGAACTACAGGCATGTACCACATGCGAAGTTAATTTGTGTATTCTTAGTAGAAACGAGGTTTCACCACATTGGCCAGGCTTCTCTCAAACTCCTGACCTCAAGTGATCCACCTACCTCAACTCTTCAAGGAGCCCGGATTACAGGCATGAGCCACCATGCCTGGCCTCATCTATTTACTTTTAACTTATGCGTGAGGTTTTCTTGAGAGAGGGTCTAATTCCATCACCCCTGCTGGAATGCAATGGCGTGATCATAGTCCACTGTAATCTTGAACTACTAGGCTAAAGTGATCCTCCTGCCTCAGACTCCCAAGTAGCCAGGACTATAGGCATGGATCACCACACCTGGCTAATTTTTAATTTTTTTGGTAGAGATAAGTTCTTGCTATGTTACCCAGGCTGATCTTGAACTCCTGGCATCAAGTGATTCTCCCACTTTAGCCTCCCCAAACCATGGGATTACATGTTTGAGCCACACACACCCAGTCCTATTTGTGTTTTTATAGATATTTTTTATTAAACGTTTAAAAATTTTATTTCTAGAGACAGAGTCTGGCAATATTGCCCAGGCTGGACTTTAATTTCTGTTTTTTGAGTAGCTGAGACCACAAGCATGTACTACACCTGAATTAATTTTATATTTAATCTGGGTTTCTTATAGGTAACCTAGAGTTGGGTCTTTTTTATCCAATTTGACATGCTTTGTCTTCTAATTGGGATGGTTAGAACATTTTTATTTAATGTGATTATTGATATGATTGTTTTAAAATCTACCATCTGCCTATTTGCCTTTTATTTCTTCTTTATTTACTTTTTCTCTTTTCCTACCTTCTTTTGCATTATTATTTATGATTCCCTTTTACCTCTTTGGATTACTTTAGATATAATGCTTTGTTCTTTTAGTGGTTACTTTAGGGTTTATAGTATATAACTTTATCACAGCCCACTTCAAGCAAAAGATAAGAACTTAATGTACTTCTATTTCTCCACTCCAGACTTTTTCCTGTTGTTGTCATACATTTACTTCTACACATGTTAAACCTCATAATACATTGTGGGTTGTTTTTTTTCTTTTGCTTTCAATACATTCAAAGATATATAAAAAGAAATAAGACTCATGCCTGTAGTCTTAGCACTTTGGGAGGCTGAGGTGGGTGGATTACAAGGTCAGGCATTTGAGGCCAGCCTTGCCAACATGGTGAAACCCCATCTCTACTAAAAATACAAAAATTAGCTTGGTATGGTGGTATGTTCCAGTAATCCCAGCTACTTGGGAAGCTGAGGCAGGAGAATTGCCTCAACCTAGGAGGTGGAGGTTGCAATGAGCCAAGATTATGCTATTGCACTCCACCCTGAAAGAGGGAGATTCCATCTCAAAAAAAAAAAAAAAAAGAAAGAAGAAAAAAGTGTTTTTATGTTATACTTTAAGTTCTGGGATACATGTGCAGAACATGTAGGTTTGTTATGT